GATCTGGGCCCGAGCAGGCTTTCCTGGACACCTACCTCCTTAAATCCACCCCGTTTTAGACTAAAAGTCTTTAATGACTTAAACCTTCAGGAACTTAGGGGGTTCTGTGTTTTATTGCGACACTGCTATATAGCTCTGGAGCGTTCCTGAGATGTGCCCTACTTTGCCGAGAATTTTACACATTTTCTCTTTTTAAACTCCTGCAAATCTGTAGTTGACATATTATATTTTTAAACTAAACTTCTAATATTTAACTGAACTTTATATTTGCAAGAAAGCAAGATTTAACTTCTGTAATTCAGTAGTTTTAAGAAAAACTTCTTTTTTTTTTTTTTTTTTTTAGCTGTGACTGCTACAACTGTTTATCAGTTCCTGAAAGAAAACTGTAACTCATCTATCAATGCAGATGTGAGCGCATTCCCAGGTAAATATAGTGATGTACAGTAAGGTGAGGCAAATTTTATCAAGGAATTGGCCTAAGCACATTTTATGATCTAGGTGAAAGAAGTCAGAAACTTAGGGAAACCCAGTTTCTGCAGTGTACCTAAACCTGCAGGTGGGACTGCTCCTGCTGCTGCAGTTTCTGTGGAAACTGATGTAATTTCAGCAGCTGAGGTGTTACCAGATGATTAAATAGATAGGTCCCAAGAAATGAAAGAGAAGGGGGTTGAAAGGTCGACAAATTTCAACCCAGCTTAGCAAGAAAGAGTAGGAAAGGGCTTGTTTGTCACGTCGATGGGCAGCTTGATATTTTCATTACTCCTATGATGTCTTCTAATTTTTTCAGAGGAAGCAATGTTTGTCTGTTGGGTATCAATTCAGAAACTTTATCCATGAATATTTATTAAATCATTTTATCTTAAAATAGATTTCTGAGATTTCTGAATATCTGCTTTAGTACTTTTAGGGGTTGGGTGTTTGGGATTTTTTGTTAAAAAAAAGCTTTCGTAGTTCTTGATTTGGATATCTAGTGTTGACCTGTTAAGGCTCCTCTTGTCACAGCTGTCATGTAATTGTGATTCATGTGGGGAAACCGCTATAAGCTGTTAAAATTCACAAAGATGGGAATGTTAAGCTGTTTTCAACTTCTGTGCTTTTTATGGCATAGAAATGTTGAGAGAGCATCTCATTTTGTGAACTGTGTAAACCAGAGCATCTCATTTTGTGAACTGTGTAAACCATATTTATGAATGTTGTGATTTAGTTCAGGTATGATACAACTTCTGCAAATGGGGAGCAATATTGCCCAGAATGGAGAAGAGGTCAAAAATTTTCTTACTTATTAACAGTCAGAGGATCAGTAATAGTTAGACACTTGCCTACACTTTAATATGCTTAGAACTTAATTATGATGCTGTAATTATGAAAGTAGATAATGATAATTATGAAAGTAGAACTCATGTCATTAAATGACTCACATAGAGTCTTTCAACAGAGATGTTCATTTTAATAGGAAGAATAGATTGTAGTGGATTGATTATTTCAAGTCACTGGTTTATCTCTTTGCAGCATGTTCAGTGGCTGGTATTCCAGGTGTAAAGAAATGGTATTTTGCGAGTCATGTTATATGTGGTTATTATCAGGTAAGATGTATTTTTTTTCAGAATATAATTTCCTCAGCTGTCTGTCTGCCTGTCTCTAGTGCAGGTTAAAACTGTGATGTTCAAAATTCTTTTTGCTTACTTAATTCTTTTTGCTTAATCAGTTCTGCAGTTCTGACTGGGAGGAAATAAACTCTGACACACAGAAAAATGAAGACTCTTTCCAAACAAGTATTGATGAATGCCTGGGAGCCAGACAAAATTTTGAGGAAGACGACAGTAACAGTAGAGAGTCACTGTCTATGGCTGAGTATGCATATTATTATTATTTTTATTGGAAGTATAGTGATCTGACATTTAACAGTAATAACCCAAGGGAATCAAGAACATTTAACAAGTAAAAATTATTACCAAAGCAACAGTTAACTGTGAACAATCCCCTACTACTACTGAAAATAATTCTATTTCGTTTAATATAGCTTTAGTTTTTTTTAGCTACAGGTGTTTCTATAGAATAACTGAACAGTTTCGTAACAGCTGATGGTTATACATACAAAAAGAAGTTTCTTGCTAATCTGTCTTGAGTCCTACTCCCAGTTTTACTGCAGACTGTTTTGAAGTCATTTAGCCTACTTCTGCCTCAGTAAAAGGGCAGAAAAGTGTGTCTCATTGCCTAGATATGTTTGTGCAGAATTTTAAAGATATAAGATATACTAAGTTGTAACTTTTTGTTTTTAAATGACTTTGTTTATATTTTGTTTCCAACCATGTTGCTCTTCATTTTCAGTATCTATGATGAAGCTGCAGAAAGTCTGCATCAGTTAGCTGATAAACTGCCTGCCCCAGGTAATAGCTCTTAAAAAAGCAATCTCATTTGAGTTTATCTTGCTAGTTATTATTCTAAAAACTCAGCTGTTGAAATCGTAGTCAAATGGTAAAAATCAGAGGATGTTAGTTTGTTAGTTGAATTAACTTGTATGCAGCTCTTGCAAGTAGTTTAAGGAACCTGAGCATGGTTGGCAGAGTAAGCTTACAGAGTAGCTTGCTTCTTGTTTCTTTGGAAGGCTACATTTCAGTAGAGTTCGAGGCAGCTATTTATATAATTAATTTTTCCATCTGAAATGGCACCAAAGTAGTAATAGACAGTAAGCAATACGAAACACAACGTGCAACCACAGGAAGTTTTTATGAAAAAAATGGAAGGTGGTGATGTCAGGCGGACATCTGATTTGCCAGCTGATTGCTTGTGGGTGGGAGCCGAGAAGCTGTAAAGGAACATAAATCAGAACTACTGGATTCAGATTTTGTAAACTGGAGATGCGTATCATCTTGCATGTTAAGGGTTACATAATGTTGCAGTAGTTGATTGGGGATAGCAAAGGAACCGAATGTGGAAGGAATGAGAAATAGCAGTTTGGAGGTGTTAAAAGGAGGAAAATGACACGGTGTAGTTGTACTGGAGACAACTCGGATCTGTCAAATACAGTGCTGAGTGAGAGAGGAGAAAGGTATCGAACTGCTGTAACTGAGCAAACGGCAAAATGTTCTGCGTTAATCTAAGATGAGCAGGGAGAGATGAGCTAAAATGCATGAAAAGTGTTTTAAATCTTGCTGAAGTTATCTGAAGTTGATCTTTAAGCCCATTTTAGTGCAGTCAGTGATAATCTTTTCTAGATAGAACTTTTCTATCTTTAAATGGCTGAATCATTTACTGAATAATGGTACTTTGAGTCATATATAACTCTTTTTATAGGCAGAGCAATGGTTGATGTAATACTGCAGGCTGTTGAACGAGATGGACCCAAGTTAAAAGACTGCTTACCTGCTATCGGTGCCCTGAAACACCTGAGAGAATGGCACGCTGCGCAAATCACTATTGCAGCAAATGACTCTAAAGGGTATGCCATTTATTTTCAGCCTATAAACAAGGTCACTCTTGTTTTGTGTTAGTATATGTCAGTGGTTTAAAATAAAAACAGGGTCTTGAGTACTTTACAGGTATACTTTGAAAATACATAGATTTGTCTTATATTATTGTTTGAGGAGAGGAGTTACTCATGCTGATTTATTGTAAATGTATTCCCTAACCAGACGGGCAGGCAAAAAAGCAAGTCCTTTGAACCTCCTCTTTCTATGAGAGCAGAAGGTTAAATATTTTCTCCTTTTTATCGCTAGTGGCTTCAGTGTGCATAGTAAATTGTATTGATTGTAGTTTTCCGGTTTTTGTAAAAAGAGTACATAACTCTGTTGGTTTTAGTTTCAAATTTTTAGTAGTTTTGGTATTACATTTCAGGGAGGGGAAAAAAAGTCCGATTTATCCCTTTTGAAAATGGAGTATACATGCTCCATTATTTCCTTTATGCTTCTGAAAAGTCTTTAATGCTGAAACTATTGATTCAATTTGAAATTAAGTCCAGTAATTTCCTTACTGTCCTCCTCTAACTGGCACAAGTAGGCCATAGTATGTCTCAGGATAAACCACAGTGGTTTGGCTTTTTTTCCTCGTGCGGTAAATTATTGTGTGGATATTGTATAACTTGGCAAAGTCTCCTCCACTTCCCCTCCCCTCCACGCTCAAAAGATTCAAGCTTGCTTCGTAGGGTGTATGGTTAAGTTTAATCCTAAGTTAATAAAACTGTTTAACATTAAAAAGTTGAATGCCCGGTCCTTGGACAGAATAAGCAATATACCTACTATATAGTACTTCCTAAGGTATACAGAGGAAGATAAACTTATTGCAGTGACTTCCGTGAGTGCCTGATCTCAGTGTTCATTGATATCTTCCTGTGCAGCCAGCTTTTGACTGAATGAGTTTTTCTGCTGTCTTTTATGTAAAATGAAGCCATTTGGACATGCAGTTTCTGTGATGAAAGTTCTCTCATTCCTCCTGTTGTGTTGATGGTGCTGATCTCTCTTAGAAGACAGACTGCCAGTAGGACCCACAGATACTTGCTGTTCTCTCTCTCTGTTGTTGCTGAATTTGGGTAATACTTGTGTTGCAGTCCTATGTCTATTTACAAGGCTAAATACAAACCATCCAGATGGGCCAGTGATAGCCCCAGTGATGGCTACCTGGCTTTGCTCCAGATTCTAGCACCCAACCTTACTATGATATGCCTGCAGCTTGCCGTTGCCGGTGTTGCTTGATGTCTGACAAAGTTCTTTGCTGTTACGTTCAAGGAGGATATGAACGATTTCCTTTACAGAGCCTGAACCAGCAATTCTGTAATATCTTGTACTTTGTGGAATATAAAGCTATATATGTCAGTCTTAACATGCACAAAACTATTGAGTGCTACGAGGTAATAGGTAAATTCAGTCAAATTGCACTGCATGTTAATTTGTAATACTAAATTCAGTAAGATTAATTCTTCCTTTCTTTTACAGTAGCTGGCAAAAGATTGCAGACTATCTGTCAGCAGACTTTGCATCTTCAGACAATGTTATGAATATTATTGATTTAAAAGAACTCTGGAGAGGAAAGATCCAGATATGGGAAAGAAAGGTAAAATGACTTTTCAGCTGTGGTTATTTTTTTAAAGCATCCGTGTACTTCATTTAAAGCACGTATTGTACAGTGCATTTTATGCTTTAAGCCAAATTTGGTTTTGGCAATGTAATTCAAAGAGGTAATGCACAACGTATTTGGGTGGGTGGGGGAACAACTGGCTTTTTAGCATGATGAAAGCATAAATGAGATCAAGGCATCAGGGTTTGAGTTTCAGAAGTCCAGGTGCTCCCCTCTGAAATATTTGCTTTACGACTTCTTGTTCAAAATTAGATTGTTTTGTATCTACCACAAATCATTATCATGTAACTCTGTAAGTCATTGTTGCAAGCACGTCTCATGTTTCTGTAAAGACCGATATCTTTGTGATTTTGAAAGTCATTGTTTACTTTTTCAGTATTAGGTTTTGGATATAGTAGTTGGTTATCTAAGCCTACTATTTTTACCTAGTTTTACAGATCTTCTGGAAACAAATATAATACTAATTGTTTAAAATAGTGATACATGTAACTGGCTGAAGAGAAATAATTTTTATCTCTCTTTTGACACATTTATTGTCTTTTGTTTCCCCCCCCCCC